GTCCTCAGCAATCTGCGGAAGGGCATAGGGCCGCACAAGAAGCTGGCCAATCACATCGACGCCAGCATGCCGCTGCAGTATCGAGATCAACGGCGTCAGCAGCCTGAGAAGGTGGTGACTCGAGTCGCTCGACCTGCACCTGACGGCCCATATGACTTCGAGCAGCGCGTGGCCAGGCTTCATGAGAGAATCCGCGCCAAGGAAGCGGCTGGGAAGCACCAGATCGAGGATGCGAACACCATGTTGGGCAACAGCGGCATCATGGAGAGCTTGGATTGGAGGGCGTTAGAACGCAAGTCCTGGGCGCTGCTAGTCGGACACCCCAGGCTCAATCGTCGCCACCAGCTGGCGTTAGATCGCAAGTCCTGGGGGCTGCGGCGCAGCATCCCCAGGCTACGTCGCCTCGTTTTGCTGTTAGGACGCAAGCCCTGGATGCTGCCGTGCAGCAGCGCCCAGGCACCGTCGCCATTGCTGGACGAAGGATATCCACCAAGATGGCGGCAGGCGAGGGCGCACCGACGGACATGGGTCTTCCTCCTCCTGGGCTGGTTGATGACCGAGCCGTCGAGAACTACGCGGACATGCGAGCGGACCTCAGAGACTGGGCAGCGTTATGTTTCGAGGATTACACGTGTCTAGCGAGCAACAGTGGACCGTGGCTGTAGTGGTGTATTGCTTTCGTAACAGCGATGTTCGATCAAGGCGGCAACCATCCCCTCCGGCAGCTCCTCTTCAGGGTGTTCCCTGGTAGGACGCAGCAGCAGATCGTCGATGAAATTTGCGCGAGTGCATGGCGGCACACCGTCGCAAGGCGTGATGTTTTCATTCATCGATTGTGGCAAGCACCGCATGAAGAGCGAGTGCGTCTGGAACTTCAACACATGCAGGCACTCGCGCAGGTGCGGAACATGTTCAGGAGGCTCTTGGGGGAACGTGCCCCAGACCGACCTCAACTACCACCCCCGCGTAAACCTGCACCTGATAATGGGGAAGATCAGGGCGTGGACCGAGCAGTTTTCCTTCAGCAGCGTATCGGATGGCTTGCAGCAGATTGGCAGTCTAAGGTTGGACCCAGGACCAGCGCCCCAGCGTGCCCACCGTCTGAGGCTGAGGAAGCAGCTCATGAGGCCACTCGGGTGCTTGGGGGGACGCCCTCCGCCTCTCCTGCGCGCCTGCGCGAGCCATGGAAGGTGACGGCAGCGAGCAGTTCGGTGACCGCGACGACAGCGACCTCGGCAGCAAGCTCTCGACCGCGGCGCAGGATTGTCGGCAAGACTACGGTGCGTATGTCCCCTGCCAGGCGAGGGGGTAGTCCTGAGGAGGCGATGGCCACCGAGACGGACAGCTCCCCTGCCAGGCGAGGGGGTAGGCCTGATCACGCGGTGGAGGTCAACACGGCGGTTTCCCCTGCGAGGCGAGGGGTTAGGCCTCGCAACAACGTGCTGGGCGGCGAGGTCAAAGCCCCTGCCAGGCGAGGGGGTAGGCCTGAGGAGGCGATGGCCAACGTGACGGATCTTCCCCCTGCTAGGCGAGGGGGTAGGCCTGAGGATGCGGTGGGGTTCCACACGGCGGAGTCCCCTGCGAGGCGAGGGGTTAGGCCTCACAACAAAGTGCTGGACGGCGAGGTCACAACCCCTGCCAGGCGAGGGGGTCGGCCTGCGAAGCACGGTGACATGGCCGATCGCCCGAGGACCCCTGCAGGGCGAGGGGTTAGGCCTGAGGATGTGGTGGAGACCCACATGGCGGACTCCCTTGCGAGGCGAGGGGTTAGGCCTCATGACAGCGCGACGGATGGAGAGGTCACCGCCAATGCCAGGCGAAAGGGGTAGGCCTGGGGTGCATCAAGAAGGGGCAGAATGCCAGCACTCCCCTGCAGGGCGAGGGGTTAGGCCCATGGCGACCAGCCTCGACGACGCTGAGGAGGACCCTTTCCTCAACATCGGCGACGGCACGCTGGTCTGGAGTTTTCAGAGGTGCAGCTGAGTTCGAGAACTCGATGGGGCTGCTGCGCGGCGCGATCGCGGACCTGCTGGTCAACGCGGTCGCCTCCGAGCCGACGAGCGTCGTCGGCGACCACGTCTCCCTCCTCCTCTGAGAGGGAGCGCCGCTGCCTTCGCTGGCGGCGGCGTCGGAACGCGGCCGCGGCGCCACCGCGGCGGCGTTCGGCTCCTGGAGCAGACCCGCGCCTCCGCGGCCTCTCATCATCATCATCATCATCATCATCATCATCATCATCATCATCATCATCATCATCATCATCATCATCATCCTCCCCCTCTCCTCCTCCTCCTCCTCCTCCTCCTCCTCCTCCTCCTCCTCCTCCTCCTCCTCCTCCTCCTCCTCCTCCTCCTCCTCCTCCTCCTCCTCCTCCTCCTCTCTCTCTCTCTGTATCTCTCTCTCTCTGTGTCTATATCTGTCGCGTTCCCTCTCGCCCCTGCACCCCAATTCAATGTGCCTCTCCACGCTGGAAGCCTAAAGGGGCTTCAGCTAATGCTCGGCCGCCTTGCTCGGTGGCGAGCAGCTGCCGGGAGTGCCTCGGCAGCCTTGGCCCCCAGGCACCTCCCCTCGCCCCTGCCACTGGAGTCGGCGTCCGACCCGCCAGGCAGACGGCCTGGGCGGGCTGCGGACAAGCGTCATCTTGGTGGCGCGCCCAGGGGGGAAGGTGTGAGCCAGGAGGGGGAAACACACACACATACACAAGTAATCATCCATCCCCAGGAAAATATAGGAACATATGGGACGTGGGGGGGAAGACGAAAGCCCAGAACATATTACAAGCTATGGGGGGATCCTTTTATTTGTGTGTGGATGTAGTTGTGTGTCCCAGGGCCCGGGCCTTTTCGGCAGGAGTCGGGCCTTTTATTTGTGTGCACTTCAGTGAGAGGGCGCGGGCCTTCTCGGCAGGCGGCGGGGAGGATTCGGAGAGGGCCTTGGAAACGCCACGGGTGGCCGCAGGCCCTCTGGCCTCTGCGGAGGCCCGCCCCCGTCTGCCGTCCCCCCTGCGCGCGCCGCCGAGCATCGACGACGACGCGGGTTTAGCGCGCGGGTCGGTTCTTGGCCGATGCAGTTCTCTTTCTTCCAGTCTGTAGCGCCAGTTAATCATGAGGCGGGCAGTGTTCTTCAGCCGTAGTCTTCGAGGTGGCCTGTCAGGCCCGTGGCTTTGTCGTTCATCCTCTTCCTCGTCATCTCGAAGAAACAACTGCGTAAAAGCAGCCTTCCCCATCTTCGCGCGGATTTCTGGGGTCGCTGCCGGACTTCCCTCGCTGACGCGCGCAGCGCGCTGGGAGGTTCAGCGTCGATCCGGCAAATTCGAGCAGGCCTCCGACAATTCTTCACGCTTCGCGTAAGGGGGTGGCCTTGGAAGGCCTTTTCGTGCCATCGCTGGGTGCCGCGTGGGGGCGAGGGGACGAGGAGGAGGAGGAGGACGAGGAGGACGAGGAGGACGAGGAGGACGAGGACGCGGATGAGAACGAGGACGAGGAGGACGAGGACTAGGATGAGGACGACGCGGACGAGGACTCATGGAACCATTTAGAGGTATTCTTGCGGCGGCTGCTGCTGCTGCTTCTGCTGCTGCTGCTGCTGCTCTCTGGGAATTTGTTTGGGCCCATTGGAACCATCTTTGTAACCCTGGAAGGCTTCTTGGGATCATTTGGGAGGCCATCGATTACAGGATGGGGTGGTCCCGTCCCCAGCTCAGCTCCCCCCTTAGGAGCCGGCAAACCGCTCCTTGGGGCTCTCTTGGAACTCGCTTGGGCGCTCTTGGAGCGGTCTTGGGGCCGGTCGGGGCATCTTCGGGGCCATCTTGAGTTTGCTTGGGCTATCTGAGCCATCTTGGAGGTCATCTTGGGCTCTCAGAGGCTGCTCGGGGGCCTTTCCAGGGCCTCTCGGGAGCCTATTGGAGCCCTCTTGGGACCTTGGGGCTCTCTTGGGAGCCCTGGAGCGCCTCTTGGGACCATCTTCATCATCCCTAGGCCTTGGTTCAGGGGAAGAAGATCCTCACAGGCCGCGGCCATCCCATTCGGGGATTCGGTGATTCGTTCGCCCTACGGCTGCTCCGCTCCCTCGCTCACCGCCCGGAACCCGAGGCGGGATAGCACATTTCGGCCGTGGCTCGGGAGGGAGCTCCCGAGGCGGGCCGCCGCCTCGGCGAGGCTGCGCGCCTTCCCGTGCCGCAGGCGTGGCTCGTGGTGCGCCCTGCGCTCGCCAGCGCGGCCAGCTCTCCCACCCGCCCTCCCTGGGGTGGCCATGCGCTGGCGGGCCGGGGTCTTGAGAGTTCCTCAGAGGTCTCTCGGGCTTCCCCGTCCGGCCGCACGATGTGCTGTGCCCAAAGGTCCGCGCGAACGCACTGGACCACCCCACGGAGAGCGGTCAGGCAAGAATCTTCGAGGCTCGATCAAAGGAGGGAGGGCCCCGATCGACACCCCCCCTTTAAGGGCCACGATCCTCGTGAGGAGTTTAAGAAATTGGCCTCCCAGGGGCCGATCTTGGACTCTCCAGCGGATCGCGGCCCCTCCCGTACAGGTCCAGGGGAGTGGGCAGGTGGAGGGGTAAACTCTTCCCCGAATGGGAAGAAGAGTTTTTGGATGAGCAAATAAAGACATCGTTAGACCACCTGCGTCCCGGCCTCGCCGTCGTCGACGGTGCAGGACCGCGACGGCCTTCTGAAATGGGTCGCGTTCGCGGGGTCAGCGGGACCTTCAAAAAACGGCTCGGAATGGGGTCCAGATCGTTCGGGGTCCAGGACCAGGTGGTCCACTTCAGGAGCAAACATCCGCCGACCATGCGCCGTCGCCGTCCGTCGTCGTTGTCGTCGTCGCCGTCGTCGACGTCGTCGTCGTCGTTCTTTGTCGTCGTTGTCGTCGTCGTCGTCATGGTCGCCTTCGTCGTCATGGTCGCCGCCGTCGTATTCGTCGTCGTCGTCATGGTCGCCGCCATCGTCGTCGTCGTCGTCGTCGTCGTCGTCGTCGTCGTCGTGGTCGCCGTCGTCGTCGGTGCAGGACCGCGACGGCCTGCTGAAGCGGGTGGAGTTCGCGGGGGCCGTCAAGGCCGGGTGGGGGGGGGCTCGCAGAGCCCACGCCGTTGCCAGGGCCCTCTCCACCGTCGGGCCTCGAGGAGCGGCGAGCGATGGGGGAGCAGGCACACAGGCACACAGAGCACAAGAGCACACCAAAATACGAAACACAAAACACGCAAACCACAAAGCACACAAAACACACACACACCAACAACATAAACCATACAACACACAAAACACAACCAACACACACACACACACGCACACAAACACACACACAGAGAAACACAAACACACACACACACCCACACACTAACAACACACATTCACAGTGTGTGTGTGTGTGTTTCCACAGAATGTGTGTGTGTGTGTGTGTGTGTGTGTTTGTGTGCGTGCGTGCGTGCGTGCGTGCGTGCGTGCGTGCGTGCGCGGGCGTGCGTGCGTGCGTGCGTGCGTGCGTGCGTGCGTGCGTGTGTGTGTGTGTATGTGTGTGTTCCACGAGAAGGAGAGGGCCTCTATCAGAAGGCTCGGGCCTTCTGAGCAGCACTCCTGTGCACCCGGGAAAGGCTTTGAGAAAGTTTCTCGGAAAGCTGGGGGACCTCCGAGCCCTCTGAGGAGGTCTTCTCCTCCTCGTTCCCTCCTCCCCCGAGCTCGCCGCCGAGTCCAGGGTCAGGGCAGGCCTGGGATAAGGAGGCACCGATCCAGAGCTCGAAGGCACAGAGCACAGCACGAGCACGCACGCTCGCAGGTTCGCGCTGCGTGCCTCGATCTGAGCTGGACCCCCTGGCGGCGCCTCCCGTGTCCGCCCCGGCGCGCTCCGCGCGCCGCGGAGTCCAGCGCCGAGCCGAGAGATCCGCGCGGGCCTTCGAGAGGCCATGCGTTGATGCAGTTGGAGAACGCCCCTCCGATCTGCCCGGCGCGCGGGAGCTGCCGCGGCGGCGCCCGATGTGCGAGACATCCTCCAGGCCCGCAGGCTTGCGGCTGCTCCCGATCTCTCCGTGGCCGGTCCCGGCCTCATCCTCGTCCTCGGCCCGCGTCGCGCTCTGGTGTCCGGGCTCGATGTTGCTTCATAGAATGGTTCGGAAGGGGGCCGTGAGGAACATAGCAGCAGGGGGCTGGGGAGAAGATGCGACGTCTTGATCGTTTGCGACACGGGCCCCCTGGAAGTCCCGGTCCTTTCCCCGGGGACCGGCTTTCCGTCCTGAGTCGTTGTTTGACGGTCCCGAAGCTTGGCGAGGGCTCCCAGGGGCCGAAGACTGCCAAAAATTAGCCGTCCTGATTTTTGTACGACGCGATCATGCCTGGGGAGGGGCCTGGGGACAGTCCTCCTCGGAAGCACGGGCGGAGCGTCTCAGCCAGGCTACCCTTTCACCCCCGCTCGGCCCGCCCATGCGTGGCCACTATGTAAGCAAGGGGGCGCCGCGGCACGTCAGCCGTTGGCATGGACGCAGAAGGGCTCATGCACCATGAGCGCCCAACGGTCTGGCACATGTTCTTTTCAGCTTGCAGCGCCTGGCAGGTGCCCTACTCTGGACGGTTATAGTGAGCCTCGCGCAGAGGGTGGTGGGGGGAGGGGGGAGGGCTTCTTAGAAGCAGCTCTGCTTCTTAGAAGGCGCGGGCCTTCTCTGTAGATGTAAGGCCGGCGCCTTCTAAGAAGCAGCCTCCTTCTAAGAAGCCCCCCCCCCCCCTCCACCCCCTTGTGCGCGCCGCCAATATAGGGGAACGAACACTGGCCTAAGCATAATAACTCGGAGGTCCGCGCGGATTCCTCGGATCGGCGCTGGGGGCCCCCCGGCGGCGCCCCTGGCGCCGCCCCTGGCGCGCTCCGCGCGCCATGGAGGGGGTCCAGCGCTGATCCGAGAACTCCGCGGGGCCTCCGAGCTTTTTATTCTTATATCATTCTCCGTTCCCCTAATTTATCACGGGGGGTGATTAACCTCCCGCCGAATCCCACCCCCTCCGTCCTCCTCCCCCTCTTCATCCTCCTCTTCCTCCAGCCCCTCCTCCACCAGTGCCGACAGCACGTGCCCAACCTCCCCAGCGGATTCAAGGGAGGGCGATCATTGTCCCATTCAGAGCAGGGTGATTTTGCAAGCAGGTCTCATTTGGCGCAGTCTGGCTCCGTGCGTGGCACTCCGGCTTGATCTGGCTCATCATCCAGATTCTATTCGCTGGCAAAGGGGGATTCTGTCTTGCTGGGCAGATCCTTGGACGCTGCGGCGTGATAGATCGTCACAGCGCCCGCTCAGAGGCCTGCCAGGAGTTTCCCCCTAACCGCCAAGACGTCCGATGTTGTGTTTTTGTTTCGCAACGAGGCTCCCTGCAGACCTTGACCCCTTCGCGGGCGCCGGCTATTTGGTTTTGATCACGAGCCGAGGTTTGACGGTGCAGGGGGCCAGCCAGGCCCCCCGGGGGCCGAGCATCGCAAGCCAGGTGCTGGCGCGTGCCTGTCACGGCGCCATGGTGCACGAGGACAACAGAAATCCCTAACCCAGGAGGGGGACAAAAACACACAGGCACAGTTAATCGTCGATTCCCAGGAAAATATGGGAAAATATGGGAAGTGGGGGGAGGGAAGACAAAAACCCAGAAAAGATTGGAATGTATAAGGAACCCGGTTATTTGTGTGTATTTATTTGTGTGCCCCAGGGCTCCTTCATTAACCTTTGTACCACGATGAAGCCGTGGCCGCACGGAAGTCCCCGTCTTCACATTGGGGGTCGTAGATTTGGGCGACCTGGCCCGGTACACCTGCAGAAAAGGTCCCTGTCCCCACTTTTCTTAGCCCTCCTGACTTGGGTCCCCCCTCAACGGGTCAGAGTTGTGGAAGTCGATCAATGGAGAGGAAGCGTGCTGCCAAATAATTTCCAGATGTCTAAAACATGTGTCAAACATGTTGCAAACATGTAAAGAACATGTTCGAAGCATGTTTAGAACATTTTCCGACATTTTGAACACATGTTCAATTCAATGACAGACTGTTAGAGTGTCCACTGTCACGGCATCCACAAGGTTCGATGTCCTTTCTGTGGTTCAGCAAGGCTGCCGGGGAGGCCTGTTGCTGGATGCCGTGGGGTTTGCCCGCACCCACGGGGGGAGGTGGCGGGCGGGCGAGGCCCCACGGGGCGTCGCCAGTCTTCCCCGCGAGTCGGGGCTCACCCGCAAGCCTCGTCGGGCCCAGCGCTGCCTGCGAGGGCGGCGGGGGGGGGACCCGAGGGAAGTGCTGCGCAAGCGAGCTCGCCCGAGTCTGAGGAATGCATCGCCCTCTCCGCGAGGCGAGGGCGTCAGGGCAGAGCGGCTTCCTCGCACCCGGGTCGGCCCCTGGGTCCTCCCCTTGGGGCGCGTTCCCGGGCGGGATCTCGGCGCGGAACCCGCTGTGGCGACGAGGCGTGGTCTCTTCACGTTGCCAAGCATCAGGCCACCCTGGCCAGCCAGGTGTGCGATGTTTCCTAGCAGCTGCGCCTCGCCGAAAGCATTCCCAGGGGTGCCTGGATCCCCCCGAACTGCCCTGGAGGCCCGACGGATGGCCCAAACACCAAACATCCCTCGTAGCAAGAAAATATTGCAAGACTTACGGTTTCTTAGGTTGCATCTTCGGGGGACCTCGCTTGTCCCCCAAATTGGTGTCTTCTCTTGTGCCCGACGCGGGCTCGATGCGGACTCGACGCGGATTTGGTGCGGACTCGACGCGGATATGACACGGATTCGACAAGTCCGACATGGATTCGACACGGACTCGACGCGGATGCGGCCGCGACGTGACACACAAGGTCCTTTGGAGGATGCAACATAACATTCCTCTGGCCTCGATGGGGCTGGTTTCGTGCCTCGGGGCCGCCGAAGGGCAGCCCGGGACCATCAGCGTGCCCCAATGTCGGGGCTCAAGAGACCAGGGCCTTTGCTGACGGGGGTCAGCCAGGGCGCTGGATCTTGCAGGACCCTGCCGAGCCAGAGTCGCACTGACCCAGGCATTCACCACCCACCAAACCACCCCAACCCAACCTGAAGGCTCAGATTTACCCTCGATTTCTAGTAGGGGGGGGGTCGGGAAACATCGAGAAAACACGCGTTGACCCCCTACCCCCCTCAACCCGAAATTCGGGTCTTCGGGTTGGGTTGGGGTGGTCTGGCAGGTAGTCAGGCATGGGGTGCAGCATCCTGCAGGATCTGGCAGGATCCTGCAGGGCTTGACTGACCCAGGTCTGGACCGACCCGGGGTCGGCAGATCCCCGCTGCCCTCGAGGGGGCCGGTGTCGGGCCTCGGGGCCGCCGAGGAGCATTCCGGTTGTGTACAGCATGCCCCAATGCGGAAGGGGTCTTTGGGGCGTCCAAAACATTAATCTTCCTCCTCCTCCTCCTCTTCTTCCTCCTCTTCCTCCTCCTCCTCAGAAGGGGTTTCCAACATGTTTTTCCCAAGGGTTTGTTCAACACCTCGTGCGAAGGGCTTGGGACAAACAGCTTGCCAAAAGCGCTGCCTCCAAGCTTGGACAGTCTGGGGCCACCCTTGATGCCAGCGTTGCCTCCCGCGTTCTTTCCAGCACAGCCCTCAGCACGCAAGAGAGAGGCAGTCTTCTAATGTGTCTAACGCAAGGCTGCTGGATCAAAGCCAGAGGCAAAGATGCGGGATATGGCATAGATTGCGCGTGTGATTATGGAGCCCTGTCGGACTCCATCAGTCACTGCCTATTTTCGTGTCCCCTGGCCCACACGGAGCGTACCGAAGCTTTTTCAACCGAAGTGTTGGATCTGATTGCAAAGCATGACAGAGGTCCACTCATAAAGTTCGGATATCAGAAGGCGCCAGAATTTAACACAGGAGCTCCCGAGAACACGGGGATAAGCAGTTGTGATGTCTGGTGTATTGACCCCGACTGCTCAGTCGAAGAGGCGTTCGCTGGTCAGGTGTATGTTGATGGCAGCTGCGACCCGTCTCAACACCCCTCTTATAGGACCGCATGCTGGGCAGTTGTCTCCATGAAGGACAGGGAGCCCTATGCCATCCTCTCGGGCCAAAGTAGGCGAAAGTTTCCC